GACAGTGATGTACAGTCTTGTTGGTATATGTATGATTTCTATACATTTTACATCAGATAGAAACCTTGGTTTTAAGCTTCAGATAATTATTTAATAACAGCAAGACATTTTAAATGAGAATAAGAAAGTATTTCTTTGTGCCCCCCTCTCCCTGTTAATGCCCCACCTGGCTGTAAAAAGTCAGCACAACGAAAATAAACTCCAGCTAAACTTGGTTTATATCTGACCCAGATAGACTGCAGGTCATAACTTCTTACCTGATGTTCAGTTCACCTGACACTCAGACCGGCGGCCGCCTCAGGTCTCTCCTCCTGCCTCCCCTCTTGCCTCCCCTTTCTCTCATCCACCTGCTGGCCTCCACCACTTGCTAATGTTACTGAATCTGTGGAAGCACCGCCATAGCCACCACCAAACAACTGAGTCATTTTTACACACAGACCAGCATCTGGCCAATCCACCACCTTTCGTTGTTTATACCGTTACAAAAAAAAGAAAATCATCGGCCCACCGAGCAAATGCCCGATTGCCAGTCCAGCTATGGTCGTGCCATCAGTTAACCCTTCGTGTGCCAACTGTGGCACGTGCCCAGGATTGCCGACCCCTGAGTTAAACCATTCTTATTCACATCGCACTGTAACCCTGATCAAACTGTGTGACATCATGATGACATCTCGTTTCCTCCCTGTCCTCAGTGGTGGAAGAAAACAGTTTTCCTTGTGCCTCTCTGCCTCCTCCTCTTCCTCTTTCTGAAGACGACAGCTTCCCTCCGTTGCCCGGTGACACCGCAGACCTGCTGGCCCCACCCCCTCCACCCCCACCTGACCAGGAGATAGACGGTAGCATTTTTAATATTGAACTGTGTGTGCGTTTCCTGTATAAAGAGACTGAAACATTTAACAATTGTGCAGTTTAACCCAGTTTGGAGCCTTTGAAAGTCTGATATTATGCATATGCAACAACTTTTACTGTGAAGATGAATGAACCACTGGTGCATGTGCAGTTTGATTTTCTAAAATCAGCTTTCCTCGACTCACCGATAAGTCTCAAGATTCTCTGAGAAGGTTCAGGTGAAGAATAAATCAGTGAACACACTTCCTGTGTGATACATGGACAGTCCGAATCATTCACAAATCTGGTATTTTAAAAGACGCCAGAAAGCTTCCATTCCAAAAATGTGCAGTTTAAGAAGCCCTTTCTTCTTCTGTGGTGCTTTTTGTCAGCCTTCCTTTGCTTTGTTTTTCTCCAGTCTTTTCTTTTTCTGTGGTTCTTTTGCAGTGACCCTCCCATCCAGGAGGAGTCACCGCCGTCACTCACCCCCAGCCACTCGCTCTCTCTCTCTGAGGGTCCGCTCAGGCCCCGCCTCTCGCTGCCGCTATACCCGCTCTCTGTTCCTGCCTACTGTCCAATCACGTAAGCACAAAGTCGGGGAGCTACAGGTCTGAGAAGTCATGAGGTCCTTGAAAGGGTTCTTGAATATCTTTCAGGGCCATAAATGTTCCTTAATAATGTTCCAGGAGTTCCAGGCCTTTATTTGCCCACTATTCATTTCAATCCAAACTTTATTAGGAATCTGTCGTGGTCCTGATCAGCGACAGTGTGAAAGATGGACGTAGCTAAAGCGCCTTATAGCTGCATTGTTTTTAATGGCCATCAGGGGGCGACACCGTTTCTTTACTTCTGTCATCGACTGTTCGGGCACTGAACTGGCTAACAAATTACAGTTTACATATCATTAGCCAATGAGGCTGCAGTTTCACACTCAGACCCGCCCTTTGAGGCTTCAGAGCAGGACTTGACTAACTGATGGCTGATGTCATTGTAACGGCGTCCATCTTTGGTACTGCCTGTGGTCTCAGACGATCACGCCTTCATCATACTTTTTTCTGTCTGTCAGTCATGATTCCCCCACCTCCCCCCTATCCTCCCCCCTGTGCTCCACCTCGTCTTTCCTCCTCTTCATCTCGGCTCTGCTTACCTGCTCGTCTCGAACACCTGGGTAAGACGAGAACTCTGCTGCCAGCATGCCGTACTCTTAGAGGTAGTGCTTTTGTAGAATTAGAACATTAATACGCACCTGCCTCCTCACCCTCGTAGATCTGGAGATCCCAGCCCCACCTCCTCCGCTCTCATTGGATGATATGGCGAGGTTTGATGATATACCGCCCCTCCCACCTCCGGTGGATTACGACACCAACGCCCCTCCAGATTACATTGAGAAAGGTACTGAGGTGACATCACAGTTTGCTGTGATGACATCATTCCTACAGTCTGTGGCTTGTCTAACTGCAATTCCTTTTTGTGTCCAGTGAGGGCGCTGTACAGCTATGAGGCTGTGAAGCCCGATGAGCTGTCCTTCACTGAGGATGACATCATCTACCTGACTCAGCGCCATGAGGACGGCTGGTATCAGGGCGTCCTGAACGGCAGACAGGGCTACTTCCCTGAAAACTATGTCGAATCATGTGGCTAAATGAAGCCCCGCACCCTCATGTTTAACAGCCCCACTGTAGCATCCACTGAATGATTGTTAATGTAGGGTAACTTGTTGCACACCTCGGATCAGGTAGACTTCTCTGTTCTTAGCTTCTGGTTGGTGTCCCCACACCTGAGTGGTTAACGCTTTGAGCGCTCGTACAAATCCTGTGATTAATGAAATAAAGTTTTTTCTTCTCAAAGCAGCAGCCGTGTCCCTCCCTGCAGTGTGTCCTCTATCCTTCAGAGGGCGCTGCTACTCTCTGTCTTCCTGTTTGTTTCTCAGGGGCTTCAGCGTTCAGACTTGTTTTGTCTGATTTGTCTCGTCTTTCAGATAGAATAGAATAGAATAACTCTTTATTGTCATTGTTACAAAAACGATGAAAGGCAGTTTGGCATCTCTCCACGTGTTTGAAGTACACAATAGTGTGAGTATTTACACAATACCACAGATAAATTTACACTTACACAAGAAACATATGTACAAGTTATAGATACACTTGCATACATACAACTTTTGCACAAGTTTTGCAAACAACAAACAAAGTTATTTGCATCCATTTACCTTTTACCTTGATTTTTTTAAATAACCATTTCAAACTATTTACAGAACAATCAGCTGTTCTTCAATAAGATGCCAAACAAATTATTTGTGCCACT